ACAAACAGCTTAGAAGCTCCAAGGAGCCATGCTGCAGGGTAGACCCCTCGCTCTGAGCTTTGCTCTGAATCCACTGTAGCAGTTCCGTCTTGATGTGAGGTGAGACCTTCCAGCAAAGGCTGTCCTCCACGTAGCTTCTCATCAGTTCGTTCAGGAGCCCAAACACGAAGCGGACGGTGGGTGCCAAGAAGCTCCTGTCCGATGACGCGCACTTGGCCAACAGCCTGCTGACGCTCTGGTCTGGACCCTGCCCACCCCCCACCCCCCACCCCGGTCCAGGACGTAGTACATGGCAGCAAAGAACTCCTGGAAGCTCAGGTGGATGAAGCTGTAGAACTTCTCGCAGTCGATGTCCTTCTGGAAGATGTTCATGTTGAGGAAGGCGGAGACATCTGCTCCATTGAGCCCGTGTTTCCCGAAGTCCTGCTCCTCAAAGAGGATCTTCTGGTTCCAGAGGCCGTCGGCTGCCAAGGAGCACAGCCCTTTCTGGTTGGGCGGAGGCTGGTGGGTTGGGGTCCCTGGTTTGGGATGCATTAGACTCAGAAGGTAGAGCGTGTACATTGCCGTGGTGGTCCTGCACGTCTGCCGCACAAGCCCTCCGCCCTCCAGCTGCTGCTTGAGACAAGTGCAGACCACCCAGCACACCATGGGAACAAAGCACATGGTGAAGAGAGGCTCGTTGTCCCTCACGAAGTTGAAGACTTGGCTGGCCTGCTCCACGCCGTCAAAATCCTTGTGGAAGGACTCCTTCCTCTCGGCCTCAGAGAAGCCCAGGACCTCCTCGTGCCGGGGGTGCTCCAGCAGGGGGTGGAGCTTCCCCAAAGCCGTGGGTCGGGTGGTGATGAGCAGAGACGACTTGGGGAGCAGCGTCTTCTGCAAGAGGCTGCTGAGAAGGAGCTCTGTGGGCCGTCTCTCCTGCCAGCGGGAGCACCAGGGGCCCTGAGGGTGGTGGAACGAGGGCTTGAGCTCGTCAAAGCCATCAAAGATGAACAGGAGGCGCTCAGGAACCCGAACAATTCCAGGAGAGGCACGCTGTGCTCCGGCCAACAGCTGGAGATGAGGTCTCGCAGGCTCTGCTCGGCCTTCTTGTTCATCTCCCTGCAGTTGACGTAGAAGAGGAAATCAAACCTGCCCTGGAACAGCCCCCCTTCAGCCCAGTCCAGCGTCACCTTGTGAGCGAGCGTGGACTTGCCCATCCCCGCCGCCCCTTGCAGGACCACGGTGTGGGGTGGCTCGGGCTGCTCTTCATCGGGCTCGAAGGGGGTGTCTATCTGGATGGGGCTGGCCTGGTGCTCTACTGTTCTCGCGTGGCCCCAGCCCATGGCCAAAAGCTTCTCCTGGGCCCGCCAAGGATTTGAATGCTCCTTCACCAAGAGAAGCCGCGTGTATCGATGGCTGAGGTTCACGCATTCTCCCAGGCATGCGTTGCGGTCTTCCATCAGCCGGAATTTCCTCCGGACATAGTTGCGGTAGGTTTCCCCGGGATCTAATGGGGAGGAATGAAGGATCCATGGAAGATTTGTCATTGAATGAGTCATTGTTGTTGTTAGGTGCCTTGAGTTGGTTCCAACTCATAGTGACCCTACGTACAACACAACGAAACGCTGCCCAGTCCTGTGCTCC